GAGGCCAGCAGCAAGTTTGCCAGCGCCACGCAGGTGCTGGGCTACAGCCCCGAGCTGTGCTACAACACGGCGCTCTGCTGCTACGCGGCCAAGCAGTACGGGCCCGCCCTCAAGCACATCTCCGATATCATAGAGCGCGGCATCCACCAGCACCCGGAGCTCAGCGTGGGCCTGACCACCGAGGGCATCGATGTCCGCAGCGTCGGCAACACGCTGCTCCTGCACCGCACGGCCCTGGTGGAGGCCTTCAACCTGAAGGCAGCCATCGAGTACCAGCTGCGCAACCTGAAGGTGGCCCAGGAGGCGCTGACGGACATGCCCCCCAGGGCCGAGGAGGAGCTGGATCCAGTCACGCTGCACAACCAAGCGCTCATGAACATGGACAGCCAGCCCACGGAAGGGTTTGAGAAACTGCAGTTTCTTCTGCTGCAGAACCCCTGCCCACCAGAAACTTTTGGAAACTTGCTGCTTCTCTATTGTAAGCACCAGTACTACGACCTGGCAGCTGATGTGCTGGCAGAGAATTCCCATCTGACCTACAAACTGCTCACACCTTACTTGTACAACTTCTTGGATGCCATCATTACTTGTCAGACTGCCCCTGAGGAAGCTTTCCACAAGCTAGATGATTCAGCAGGGACGCTAACTGAGCAGCTGAGAAAACTTGCGAAGCAGGTACAGGAAGCTAGGCAAAACTGGGATGAGGAAGCTGTAAAGAAGGCAGTCAGTGAGCATAGTGAGACTCTTGATAAATATGTGCCTGTCTTGATGGCCCAGGCAAAGATCTACTGGGACATGAAGAACTACGCAATGGTAGAAAAGATTTTCCACAAATCTGTGGAGTTCTGTAATGAACACGAGGTGTGGAAGCTTAACGTGGCTCACGTGCTCTTCATGCAGAACAAGTATAAAGAGGCTATTAGCTTCTATGAGCCACTAGTTAAAAAGCACTATGACAATATTCTCAATGTCAGTGCCATTGTGTTAGCTAACCTCTGTGTTTCTTACATCCTGACAAGCCAGAACGAGGACGCGGAGGAACTGATGAGGAAGATTGAGAAGGCAGAAGAGCAGCTGTGCTATGATAACCTTGATAAAAACATCTACCATCTTTGCATTGTCAATCTAGTCATTGGTACCCTCTACTGTGTGAAGGCAAACTATGAGTTTGGTATTTCAAGGGTCATTAAAAGCCTGGAGCCATATAACAAGAAGCTGAGCACGGATACGTGGTATTACGCCAAGCGGTGTTTCCTGTACTTGCTGGAGAACATGTCCAAGCACACCATCATGCTGCGGGACAGTGTTATTCAAGAGTGCCTTCAGTTTCTGAAGCAGTGTGAGCAACATGGAAGAAACATCCCAGCTGTCATTGAGCAACCTCTCGAAGAGAAGAGGATGCACAGTGGGAAAAATACAGTTACCTACGAAGCCAGGCTTTTGAGGGCACTGATGTATAAGATCATTGGGTGGACTGTATAAGTGACGTTCCTGTACAGTAGAAATCATACATTTGTGTCTGTTCTTTGCTTTTGCTTATGTGGTAATGCTCACCCTAGTAGTCCACAGGGGTGCTGGCTTTTCTTGATTTAAGGATTTTGTCTTACATTTTAACAACATTCAGTGGGAAATAGAATATCTGCATTAAATATCAAATTAAAAATCAAATTAACATGCACCAAGTAACTAGGGGCATTCTGAGTAACCTGTCATGTTAAATACACCTTAAGATGTGCTGGTCAAGATCTGCATTACAGAAATATCATTGAGTTTTCCCCCTATAAAATATTTTATCCTGAAATGTTGACCATGTTTCTTTTCTTTGGTTGACAGGTGAAAATAATTTGTTAACCATCTCCTCTAGCAAAGAAATTGAAGAAACAGAGTTGTTCTAACTCTCTTGATTTGTCCCTGTCTGTAAAATGTTTATTCTGCTTTATCCAAGCTATTTTTAGTATATTATAGACCATGTTGATAGTATATTCAAAACACACAAAAAGTGGTTTTATAATAAAAAAATCAGTCCTACAAACATTAACGTTGCCTTTTGCTAACTGGGTAATAATCCACATGTATTCTGGTAAATCATATACCTAACATAATGACCACTCACATATTCCAAGAAGGTTGTCTTAGGGTGGCACCTCAGTTTAGATCTACCCTGGCAGTACAGTTTGTTATGAGTGGACAGAACGGGCTCCACAGACCCTGCCCAGAGCTGCCCCTTGGCTCCTGCAGCCCCCGCAGCCTCCCTGCTGCCATCCCAGCAGCAGCAATTGCTCTGCAGATCTATTTGGTAGCAAGTGCTTACTCAATAATGCAGTCCTCCACTTGCAGCCTGGCCTACCACTTTCATCCAGATACCATTCTTAGAAGACACCAGTCTCTAGAAAGAGGCTTCATGAATGTGAAAATACATTATTTTCCATATTCCTCAAAAAAACATGTAATTTGTTTCATATAAGGCTTACAACTTCTACACTGAGATGGAAGAAACCTGCTTCTCTGTTTCCTTGTGTTACTGTACCTGCCTCTCTTCACACCTCTTTGAAACACACTTTATTTCCTTAATTATCTGGCATCTCCCTTGCACTGGCATCAGACACTCTTTTCTCCACAGTCTTCCCTTACCTTTTCAAGCATATTGAGTGTTACACAGCAAAGTGAGACCAAAATGCCTTTCAGTGGTTTTATGCAGTCTGGTTCTGTGCCCCATGGCTGCTCTAATTTTTGTGTATTCTGCCTTCTGAAGCAGAGCATGACCTGAAGTTTTTCAAGTAAGGATCAAAGATCTGCAGCTTTAACTCATTTGCTTACCTTTGATACTGGCTCCCTGAAGAGCTGGCAAAGCCTAATGTTGGAATCAGTTTGCTTGTCCCTCAAAATCCCATTTCTATTCTCTGGTTTACCTGAAAATAAAGAGGACAGCATTTTTTGAAGTTGCTCTATTGTAAAGCAATAGAGTACTTAATACTTAATCCACCCAGACAGTTAGTGTATATAGGGACAGAACAGGCCTGCAACCAGTTCAACACACAGAAAGTCAACTCTGCTTATCTGCTGGGAGCAAAACCTGTCAAGGCTGAGCATATCCTCTGTAGCTGTGGGAAATGGCTGTGGGTTAGGTAATGTTACAGTTTACCCAAAGCTTCCTATAACAGTGAAATCAAATTTAACACACGTGTCTCCAGTGTCAAAAATGGGAAAATCTAGAGAGATTAGAGAGCAGGCAGGGGGTGCAGCAAGTTGTCCTGGAGAGGCCTCCATAGCTCATTACCAGTCTGCAAAGGCCCCACTGATCATTATATTAAATATCTGCTACAAGTGCTTCCCCACCAGGAGGAGACCTGTGATTTCAAATCTTGTTCACCTCCATGAAACATAGCAGCAGGCTGTAAAGTATGTTTCTAATTTACAGTGGAATTGTATTATATATTATGTAGCATAAAGAGCATGACCTTTAAAGAGAAAAGTTTTTAAAAGTCACACCACATAACGGCATCTGAAGTGCAGTAATGAGCAGTGACTTAAGTAATATCAGCTCTTTATTTAATATTCATTGTACGTATTCTGTAAAAGTCAGTGGACATTAAAAAAAAAATAATAAAAAATCCCTTTGCAGGTTTGTGCCTGTGCAAACGTGGAATGCCCCCTAATGGAGAGCCACGCAGAGACCTTCTTTGCACTGCTGACTGTTCGGGGACGTTCATGTGCTCTGGTGTTTCCTTACAATGGCTGCATTAGGGCCCTGCAGCCAGGACTAGCTCCTCTAGGCACTTCATCTCTTGCCTTCCACGGCCACGCAGGGGCCCACCACAAATAAGCAGAGGTGATGGGGGCCTCTGGCTCTGGGACACATTTCCCTGAGCCTGCCAGCCTCCAGAGAAGGCACAGGGCCCACAGCTGCAGCGTGGGAAGGGAGGACAGCCATGCTCCCTATGAAAGGACATGGAGCTGTGGAAGATGCGGCTGTTTTAGAAAATACAGCTAGAGGGCAGTCAGCACTACTGGAATTTGCTTCATTCTGTTGCGACGGATCAGACATACAAAAAAACCCCACTTTTAAGCCCTGGAGAAAATGTCAACAGCATTCGTTTTCTCATTCTTCCCTTTTCCTTCTGTTTTTATCTGCTTTTCCTCCTAGAATATGCTGCACTCCTCGACAACCCAAGGTTTCTGGGCAAGTTGGGTGATGCTGGACACAACAACTGCAGTATGGAGAGGCCTCCACTGCTGAAAAGGGAGAGGGAAGCTGCAGAGCTGATACACTACAGGAAGAGATCTGGAACAGGGGCCTCCTCCTCTGCTGCGTCAAGAGATGCTTCTGTGCAGGGTTTCCTCCCTGTCCCAGGGTCTTTTTTACCCTGTCCACCACAACCTCTTCCTCAGCAACAGCCATTCAACCTGCTCGTGGTCACAGCACACGAGGGCAGATGCCACAGCCCCCATTTAGTCCTAGAGAGCTGTCTGCCCCACCCATGCCCAGACGGATCAGGTCCTGGGGTCCTGCTGCTTTCACCTTCTGCAGTGTGTGTCACTTCCTCCAATGCCAAGCATGCATTTATAGCCTCTCCAAATGCAAAGCACTTTGGTAATCAAAAATATATAAATGTTACAGCCAGTTTTATGACTATCTTAATACCATATTTAGTGTTACCACTGTGTGACTTACACACAAAATACCTTTTTTTTTTTTTTTTTTAAGGAAAGCACATACATTTTTATATGCAGAGAAAGGAAGACACTGAATAATGGTTTGTGGTCCCTATAAATATAATAAAATCTTACGTAATGAACACCCTAAATTAGCACAGTACTTTTGTCCACAACTAAAAACTACTGTTTTCCATTAAAAGAATGCAAACAGAAAACACTACTGAAACAGAGCTGACCATATTCCCAAAGAACTGCAGAGGGCAAACACCTGCAGATAAGCACTGACTAAGCAAGAGCTTCTGCTTCTTCTGTTGGGAACAAGCACAAAGAAGCCCTCAGCCCTCTGCCACTCCTCCAAAAGGTGAGCAGCACAAGATGCATCCCACACACACCACTGTACCGAGGCCAGACTCCAGGATTTTATTTGAACTAGTAGCCTCTTTTGCACCTTGTCCTTACAATACACCTTGTGAGATGTTCTTGTCCTCAAACCTTACAAGGGCTTGCCACCTTTGTTGCAGGTGATGAGCTGTATTGTACTGCAGTGGGCAGATCTTTTTTTCCCAATTAGCCTTGCAGTAATTAGAGCACATATTGCATGAGCAAAGGCCTCAAACTGCTGTTCTGCCAGCAGCCTGCCTGCTGATTTGGGCAGCATGTTCCAGAACATCTTATGACATCCTATTTCAGATGCATGAGTTCAAAACTTACACACATCACTGTTGTCTTTAGCCTCCAGCAAAGGCAGTAGAGTCCAGCCCTGACTAATGATTTGCAGATTCTGGGCACCAATGTGATAATGTGGCTGTGTGGGCTGAAAGATAAGCACCAAAAGATCCATCTTCTTCTCTCCCCCAGGCTTCTCTTCCTTTATCTCCTGCTGACCTTCTCTAAATTTTGGACTTCTAAACTCTGCTGTCTTCTTAAGCAATGAGGACATTGCATATCTTCACATCACATAGACCATACAGAAAAATGAATAAACACATGAATACCATCTGGTTTACCAAGAACTAGTCCATGAAACAAATTTCTTCCAAAAATATCTCAGTGCAAAGAGCTAAGAGAGGATGGTAAAACACCACCTTTCACAAGCATGGCAAGGGGCATCTCTAGGCTTTCCTTGCACATCCACGACATGAAAACAGCAGCCACCAGGAGGCTTCAGCGTTGTGCAGCCCTTGCCTTCTGAGACTCTAATGCATCGAGCCAGGGAACGCAGCTCTCATGCTCATGTGGTGCTCACCTTTGCCAGTGCCTGCATGAGATGCCACATCAGCTTTCACAAACCACAGGCTGGCCTTTCTGAGAAGGCACACATGGCTTTGTCACTCTGTGCTGGTGTGGGGACATGGACAATGAAAGTCAGAAGCAGCAGAAATGCACCTGCCTGGTGTCCTAGGGGTTGGTGAGAAGGATTTACACAAGTATGGAAATGGTGAAAAGCAAGTTAATGTCAAAATTTTCCCAGCTTATTCGCTGCTGATTAGTAATATAAGGACACCCAAGTGTGCACACAGCCTGAGAGACACTGCAGAGAAATACTGAGATTTATCTGATAAAACAAAAGCTGTTTTGCAGTCCTCTGCAGCTTATTTGGACAGTGCAACCTTGCAGAGAAACATTTTCTAAATAATGTAAAAGAGGATTTCAATCCTGACAAACTTCTAGGCTTTACTTTCAGCAAAACAACTCTTTTGGCTGACACTTTTCCATTAAGTAGAAAAATTAAGACATTTGGTCTCGTTTTTCCAAAGAATCTCTTGATTAGCATCATTTTCCTGGACCTTGCCTGAATTTAAACTAATCAAACCTGCTCATACAGCAGACCTTGCCAAATCCAGCAGTTTCAGTTCAGAATGTTTTTATTTTGGGGAGTTTTCCCCTAAGTTCAGTATA